TCTTCTTTCTTCCATTCCATATTCTATTCTATTTTCTACTCTATTCTATTTTCTATTCTACTCTATTTTCTATTCTATTCCATTTTCTATTCTACTCTAATTTCTACTCTACTCTTCACTACTCCATCCATTCATTTGTAAAGCTCTCAAGCCCAATGCCCTAACAGAGAGAAAAGTTAGAGAAATTATACCTGAATAATTTTTGTTTTGGTTTTCAGCATACCTTCAGAGCAACCCTATAGTAATTCTAAGTCTGCTTGCCTCCTCACACTCCACCCCCTCTTCCCCACCCCCATCCCAGATCATCGAGCAGAATTACAATGCAACGTGGATGCACCGTCAAGGTGTGGAGAACGCCACCTCCATCGATCCAGCTGTCCTCAACGTCCTGTGGTCCCTCTCGGTGTCCGTCTTCTCCCTTGGTGGGATGCTCGCCTCCTTCATGGTGGGCGTGGTCTCCGAATGGCTGGGCAGGTGAGCCCCCCCCTCCCTCCTGGGTTGGGCTCCTACCTAGCGGGGAAGGGGTGCATCCTCTGAGCATGGGCAGAGTGTGCTACATGGGGCAAGAAACAAGACCTAAGCCATGAGGGTCAGGTTTCCAGCGATCGCCCTGATTAAATCATGAGCCATGAGTCAAACTTCGAAAGAATCCAAAAGATTTATTAGGAGCGACATGTCGGCATTGATCCTAATCGGAGCCGGCTCTGGCGCACAAATTTCCCAAGACACCAACTTTATAGGTAGTCTTACTCGACTTACGACTTACAGGTTGGACGTCCTCAACGGAGGATGCAACGGAGCCCAACCTTTCTGTCGTTAAGGGAGATGTTTTTGTTCGGTCAGTTTCAGCCCCGTTTTGACCGCCTTCATTGCCGTGGTTAGGCTAGTCAGGCGGTCAGTAAGTGAATCGGCCTCCCCGTTGAGCCTGTTGCTGAAAGGTCCAGATTTCGATCTTCTGACTGTGGGGAATCTGGCAGTGTCGTAAGGGTGAGGAATGGTCCTCAGTCTTCGAACGGTCCCTTAAACTGTCATTAGTCGAGGACTGCCCGCCTGGTGATATTTCCTAGACTCCTGCAGCACTTTGCGACATGTGGGATGGGAACCAAGGCCTGAACTGGGTTTAATCCCAGATAAATGGGCGGAAGATGGTCTGATGGGGGTTTGCTTTGGAAAAGGAGCTTCTCTCTGCAGCCATGGGGCCTTCCTTTGTGGGAAACCCTCCCCCCAAAAGTTGATGGGACCCCCTTCCCCCCGAGCTTCATTGTCCATTCTGTGTGGTCCCCTTTCCTTCTCCAGGAAAAGAGCCATGATCATCAACAATGGCTTGGCCTTTCTCGGTGGCGGCTTGATGGGGCTGGCCAAGCTGGGCAAATCCTACGAGATGATGATCTTCGGGCGGTTTGTGATCGGGGCTTTCTCAGGTAAGCGGGGGGGGGGGTGGGGGGGGCCCCGGGTAAGCCAGGGGGGAGGGGGGGGGGCGGGGTTCCTCTGGTCGGGGCTTGGGTAACGGGGGAGGAGGGGGGGAGATATATGGGGGCACTAGAACTCACCGTCACCTGGGGATTTGTCCAAAGTCCACCCAGCTGGCTTTCATGCCTAAGGTGGGACTAGAACTCCCAGGCTGCTGTTGATTGGCCCAGAGTCACCCAGCCAGCTTTCATGCCTAAGGCAGGACTAGAACTCCCCGTTTCCTGGTGATTGGCCCAAAGTCACCCAGCCGGCTTTCGTGCCTAAGGCGGGACTAGAACTCCCATTCTCCTGGTGATTGGCCCAAAGTCACCCAGCTGGCTTTCATGCCTAAGGCAGGACTAGAACTCCCATTC